CCCCCCCCCTCCCCCCGTCCCACCTCCAACTCGCACCTCGAAAATACATTCATTCTCCCCGCCACAACATAGTCACCCCGGCCGTGAACAATACATCGAATTCTCCTTCCTATTCCCGCACTTCCTCTTACCCATACTAACCACCCCCGACTGTCAACGAATGGTATCCACCACGGCACCGCAACGACCATGAAAGCTTTGACCACTCGACGAAAAAAAATAAACTCTGGGACTCAACCACCCAAAGTCGTTGATTGCCACGTGGTACGGCTCAGCAAAAGGGCGCGCATTCTTCCACAGCAACCGCGGAGCCCCCTCCACCGCCGGCGGCGGCACCCTCCCCCCCTCGCCTATTCACCCTGACGAACCTCACGTGACCATCTGCGTCGCCCCCAGGCTGAGCCTGACCGGCAACCCGCGCGTGGCTGCCGTCAAGACAGAGTCGGCCGCTGCCGTCAGGACAGAGTCCGCGACTTCCGCCGCCTCCGCCTCGGGTGTGGACAGTCTGTCTCGCGAGGCGGCGACAGGAGAACCGCCGACTGCTCGCGCACCGTGTCCTCTTGCCTCGTCCGGCGGCAACGGAGGAGCGGCGGCGTCCGTGGCAACGGGGGCTGGGATGGTTTCCTCTTCCACTTGGCTGCGGCAAGACGGGCAGGACGAGCTGTGTACCAGCCAGCGCCCGATGCTGTGCATGCACGTTCCATGAGCAGCAGGGAGGAAAAACAAATAAATTAGAGGGGGCGGGGAAGACAAGTTTATCGAGGGGCGCTGGTAAAAAGGTTTTCGTGTGATTGAGAGCGAAGTTTCTGATTGAGAGCGAGATTACGCGATGCGCTGTAGCTGGACTACCGCTGAGAAGTGGCGCTTGCTGCGTGACTTTAATTGAAGGCCTAGCTCGTAGCTACGAGCCGATACCCTGGTCATCCTGTGGGCGTCTCTCGTTGTGGAGCTACAGCGGGGAGCAGAATCTACAGCAGAGCCCACCGCCCGCGATCAAATCGCCCTGAAACAGTTTGAGGCAGGAATAGCCAATCTGGGGAAATCTAGCAACTTGTCTAGCTCCTAGCTGCAGCATCCGATCGCGATGACACGCATATGCTCGTGACGCTGCTGATGAGACCTTCAATTTGCGCCGCTTCTTGGAAGAGCCCGCCCCCTACTTCCCAAGAAATGGCAAGAGGCGTCTGGACCCGAAATTTCAATTTTTTTGGCTCCCGCTCTCAATCGTATACTCCGCTCTCAATCAGGCGAAAACCCTGTTTGGTGTAACTTCGTCGGCCAACTCGGTTTGCGATGGAGAGCCGATGGCTTGCACGGGGGGGGGGGCAGTCTTTTGTATTGCACCCCTTGGCGTTTAGACCATTGACCACCCGTCCTCGAGAAGACGGAACATTTTTCCCACAGGACCATGGCATGCTAGGGAAGGGAGGGAAAAAGTACGTTGTACAAATCACTATCGTGCAAAGACGGAAGGAGAAAGACAGACAGTCAGGTAGACAGAGAAGAACAAAGATGAATAGCCAGACAGGAGACACAGAGAGAGAGAGAGGAGAAAACAGTCAAACATGCTCGAGAAGGAGCTCGAGGCGGCTAGGCTGAGACCTGGCAGGCTGCGTCCTCCCGCGTGTCAGCTCCGCGCCAGACGTTATTCTCTGTTGTATCTCCGACACGCGACTACATCAAACAAACACACGTTTCCGAGGAAGCATTTTGCCCAATTACAGAGCAGGAAACCTTAATGTGACGCAAACCCCATCAAACGGTGCTCATCAAAAGCGCCGCGCCCACCGAGAGCGTTCCTATCCAACAAGCATACACCCCTCCTCACCAGTGCGTGTGGAAACGGTGCCCGCACGGGAGGTACGCAAAGCTCCTGCTCGCGTGGACACTCTCCATCGTCTCGGCGCGGAGACCCTCGTCCGACCCGATGTCCGCCGTCCAATCAGCAGCAGCCGCCGCCCTCCCGCCGCCCTCCCGCCCGAGAGCACCACCGTCGACGGTCGGCTCCCCCCCGCCGACCGCTTCGAGGCACACGGCGCAGCGCGGGTTACCGTCGCCGTTGCCGGGGCTCCTGGCGTGCCGCCCTTGCGTGGCGTCGCCGCGGCTGGAGCCGCCGTTCTTGGCGGGATCCCAACGGCCGGTCCAAACGCCTTCCATGATCGCGGCGGAGGCGGGCTGAGGGTCTCCGCGACCCTGCCTCTGGCGCGAGCCTATCATGCGCAAGGCTTCCAGGAGGAGGCGCGAACAGGCGTCGCTGGTTTGGGGGGGGGGCATCGTCAGGTTTACAGGGAGTGTCTTCTATCGGACAAGTAGTGGCTACGTGAAGAAGGACGGACAGGGGTCAAGTATTGTCGACATGAGGGACATAGGCGTGGCGACGACTTTGTACCTACTCCAGGAGAACGATTAACCCCCACCGCAGCAACACGACTGGCCGAGGCCAATGCCACCGGATAAATAATGCAGAACAACACGCTTCCGTCGACGATATACATCGCGCCGAAAAAAATCCCGAGACAGCCGCTATCAGACAAAAATGCGGCCTACCAGAGCACTCACTCGACGATCACCTCGCAGCGAAGTTAGCCGAGGGCGCTGACACCGGACGTGTACTGCAAACAACAGCACAAACAAAAAGCAACTTCGCATCGAAGCTAGACTAGAGTGCTGACACCAGATATTGCAAACAGCGGCCAAAAAGAAGAAAAAAAACACTCACTTCCCGGGGTGCGACGAGGCGATACGGTAGGCCTGATCGACCAGGGCAAACGCCTCCTCGAACCTGCCGAGCCAGTCCGCCCCCGCGCCGGCCAGCACGCAGTGCGCGGTTCCGTGCAGCGCGGCGATGGCGTCGGAGTCCATCCCCCCCTCGCCCCCCGACACCTCCCAGATCCCGATCGCCCTCCTGAAGAGCGGCTCCGCCTCCGCCAGCCTCCCCTGCCTGCGGTAGAGTTCCGCCATCGCGCGCATGCTCGACGCAACCGTCGGGTGCCGAAGCCCGAGGAACCTCCCCTGGATGAACGCCGCCCGCTTGATCATCTCCTCCGCCTTCTTGGGGTCCCAGTCGACCCCGGCCGCCGCCGCCACCGCCGAGCTGTCTTCAACGCCGCACCCGGCGCTGGCGCACACGGCCTCCGCAAGCCCCGCGCTCCGCTGGATGCCGGCGCAGCCGGGGCCCGCCGGCTGGGCGGGCGTTATGGGGATGTCCGCCGCGGCCACCAGACTCTCCCCCAGAAGAGCCCCCAGCTTGGCGAGCGTAGGGGTCGTCAGGAAGTGGTCGACGCCGCAGGCCCCCTCGAGGGTCTTGAGGGCCTGGCGGTAGAGGGTGCACGCCCGGGCGGGGTCTGCCGGGCGGACGATCCCTGCCAGGTCGTGCATCGCTTGGGCGACACACACCGCCTGAAGGGCGTTTTTTGAAAGAAAGAAACGGCGTCGGGCAGGGGGTGTGCTCATGTGTGATGCATGCCTTAGCTGGTGGCCATGCGGGCAGGTTTTGGAAAGAAACAGCGGTGGCGAGCTCGATGGGGACCTACTCATGTTTTGCATGCCTTTGCTGTGAGACCATTGGCCTCGCGGGGGGGGAGGGGGGGGGTCCGCCGTAAACTCGACAAGAGAAACGAAGGGCAGATGGGTGACAGGACTCTACACATGCGGGCGGCATTTTCTTTTTTGGAGCAAGGGAAGTGAGTGTTTCTCTAACACATGGGCCTTCGTGGTGTCCTAGATCACTGCCTCCGCGTACCCACACCTATATCAACATCATCCGGGACAGACGTACCAAACGGCCAACTACTGCCGTCGTCGATCGCGCTTGTCTTTCTGGTATAGTTCTGGCGCTCTCTCGCTGGGCAATAAAAATAAAAAAGGTCTCCACACCTGAGGCGGCTTTCTCCGCTTGAGGACGCGGAGGCTATCCTCCAGGAGCTGCTCGGCCTCTTTCGCTCGACCCTGCCGGCCAACAAGAAAGCGACATGTCGTTATCGTCAGGCGTGAGGACATATGACGGAAAGGGCCGAGGGAGCGAGGGAGGCGCGGATAGGTGTAGCGCAAGAGGCGCCGCAGCAGCAGCGCACGCACTTCGAGGCACCGCGGCCGCCGTTACAGGTGTTTCACGAGCGGCAACGCCTTTTTTTTTCGTCGTGTTACCTCAGCTTCTCGGTGTCCTTCCTCCCCCCCCCCCCCCCCCCCCCCCCCCCCCCCCCCCCCCCCCCCCCCCCCCCCCCCCCCCCCCCCCCCCCCCCCCCC